TGTGTCATGGTCAAGAATCATATTTTGTACGCTTACGTTCTTTCCCTTCATGCTTAATCTATTATCATAACCTTTGCCATGCATATTTTGTAAGGATGTTCCTTTTTTTAAAAGCTCGTCTAATAAGCAAGCTGTCAACCCTTGCTCAGATGTTTTTAAGACATGAACAAATCCAAGAAAATGTCCTCTCACCTTTACTTCTTTTCCTGCAACTGCTTACACAAACCAAACTAAATGTATCTTTTGTTCTTTACGAATTACGTCAGGAATTCAGCCAAGATTTATAGAACAATACAAAGTTTTCTCCAGTTCACACAAGATAAGTTCAATAACTTTACAGGAAAGAAGACCAATAAACTCATTTTGAATTTTTTGCTTAAAGTATGTATATGATTTTCTTAGGCAGTTACAAAACAAAGATGTTCTGAAAGAACATGTCAGATGTTCAGAAAGAACAGTGTCAAATTTTGATATGAGTTCAAAAAGTTTTAGAAAGTTTTCATTGTTTTCTTTGAAAACTGTTTCAATTGTTCCATGATAAGTTAATCCTTGAGTACCAAGGAATTGCACAATACAAAGAGAGGAGTTAAAACTAAAGCTTTTGTTTTAAAAGAAGACTTAGTACTGTATTTTTATTCATTTTATTTTTTCAAGAAAAGACTAAACTTTAAATAAAAATGAAATTGACTTTTGGTTACTTGGTTGTAAATTAAAGCGCTTTTGTACAAAAAAAATTGAGCCTTAACTGCTTCATTAAGAATGTCTTTTAAATCTTGAGATTGTGAGTTTTCTCCAGACGTCTTTTTCACTTAGAGTACAAGTTGTTTTATTTTTTGTTTGTTATGATTTTAATTATGGTTAAAATTACACCCACCACCGAACATCAAGAAAAAAATATAATCAAAATAGAAAACAATGGTTATTAAGGCTTAAACAAGGGTAACCTATTATCTTTTTAACTTAATATTATTTTGTATTTATTAACAAAGTTAATGGTAATAAATTCACTTCTATATCGTATCTTATCTGCAATTGATGCTGATTATCGTTTGGATCTTGCTTTTCCAGTTTATAGTAAAATTTAATCAATGTATTTGCTTGTTTTTTATCCTCTCTCTTCATATCTGATTTGCGTTTTCTAAACGCAATAAACATTTGGGTTTTAGATTTCTAAAACCTTTGGGTTTTAGAAATTTGCGTTTTCTAAACGCAAATTTCTTAAACCCAAAGGTTTCTTTTTTTTCCGCTATGATGACTCTAAAACTTGTTCTTTCAAATAATTAACTAACTACTACTTTTTGCTTTAATTATTTTTTTCATTGAAGTGCAGAAGCACTTGTGCATTTGTGTGTTTACTGGGTTAGGTACTCACCCAAATTCTTTTAGAAAAAAGTTGACGCAAATCTGAGTAAACTAAATCTATATTTATTAATATATATATATTATTTATATTTATTAAAAAAACTATGAAATGTAGTTTACAAAAATATTGAAATAAAACGTTACGACCGGTTTCCACAAATACAAGAGTTGAATACAAAGGCAAGATTTAAATCTCGCAAAGTAAATTGATTTTTTCTTTGATTTGTTTTTTCAATCAAATATAACTAAAAATATTTTTTGCAAAGAATTTGCAATATCTGCAAAATGCATTATGCTTCTCAAGCAAGCGTTGCGGATAACAAAAACAGACGTCTTCTAAAGTAAATGTTGGTTTGACGAGCTTCTCTTTCAAATGACGGTGAAAATAATCACACAAATGATTTTAAAAGTGCAATAGCAACATTAAATTAAAAACAGTTTTCATTAAGTCCAATTATTTGACGTCATTCAAATGATACGGATAAATAAAATTACTGTTTGATCAGCACTGAGTAATTAGTATTGTATGATATAAGTGATATAATTGTTTTTGAATTTAAACTGAACTTTTGCATAAAAAATTGCATATAAACATAAGATAAACAACCTTTTCAAGTTTTGTAAGTACGTACTCTTTTTTTTTAACATTCCCACAGTTGCTTGCTTTTTAACAATCTTATGGGGGGACTTCCTCTATCATTAATTACAACGTAAGTAGTAATTTACAGATGACTCCTTGTTAACAAATTATGTATTATTATGATGAAGTATACATCAAAAACGAAATAACAATTCAACTAACATTTTTAAAACATTTAAACTTTTTTTAAAAGTAACAATAAAAAGGAAAATTTGAAAATTTGTTATTAGAAAGATTAGTTTGTTTTAACTCATTTAACAAATTACTTTTAAATATTGGAAATAAAAACTGAATTTTTTTATAAAATGTCTTTTTTTGTTTTATTCGCACATAAAATTATATGATTTTATATATTATTATCTATATAATATTAAAAGCCATATATTAAAATATATATTACTATAAATATAAAATTATTTAAAAAATTAAAATATAAAATTATATCAAAACATCTAAACAAAAATTTTTAACTCGAAACATCTAAACGAAAATTTTCAACTCGACGGAGGGGATCTGGATTGAATGACTTGATTAGCTTTCTGCACTTGTTTTGTTAATCAAATTTAAAAACGGTAAATAAGTGTTCTCGATTATTAAAAAAATATGGTCCACCTAGCGCGGCCCTAGCTTTCCGCATTGTTGAGTATATTCAAGGCAGAGCAGAAAGACTTTTCAAATTGACATATCATAATGGTGGGTAAATTTATTTTATTTTTTAAAACTTTATTATTATTTTTTGTGAGTACTATTTAATTTGTTATGATAATACGGTTTCAGATGTATTTAAAATATGCATAATAGTATATTTTGTAGCAAATTTGCTTTTCGAACTACCAATATCTCAAAGGGAGTAAAATTCATCTATTTTGAAAACCAATTTTCGTATCAGTTATTTTAGGTACCTATATAATTGATATGAATGCAAATTGTATAGAAGTTTTTATATAATTTATACATGTATGTTTGTATTTATATATGTATATTGTGCAGCTAATTGTTAACAAAAAGATTATTGCAGTTATTTTATTAATCATTCTGACAATTGTTCTAAGTATATTTTATATATAAAACAAATTTAGGATTTTTTTTTTGACAATCTATTTTTAAAAGATTTATATATTTTAAAATTAGATGTCAAAAAATATATATAAATAACTTGACCTACAATTTTTTAATTGGTTCTTTAATTAAATAATTATCTTTTTAAATAGTTCAATAATTGATGATTTTAAAATCAATGAATTGATTTTAAATCTTATTGTCATATTGTGTCATTCCTTGAAAATATTGTATTACAGCTGTTTTATGTTGTATTTATATACATATACATATATGGTTTTATTGTCTTGATTTAAGTAATAATTTCAAACAGAGACAACATACTCTAGATATGGTTATACTTACACAAAAACAAATATAAATAATAATTTATAAGTTTATATATATAAAAAACTTCTTTTCTAAACTAGATGTTGATTTAATCAACTAATTTATTTAACTTTTTTACATTAATTAGCTCTTTCCTTTTCTTCTGTTAAAAACTTTGAAGCTTAAAAGTTATCTGTTAACATGTCATACTTTATATAAATTATATTTTAAAAATGTACCTCAAAATTATAAAATAAAATGATATAAAAGAATAAAAAAATATAATAAAAGAAAACATGTTTTTTCAGGTTTTGGTTGTAATTGGTTTATTATAATTTACATGCTTTACGTTTTAAAATACAGTCTTTAGCCATCAAAATAGCATATGGCATTCTTCAGATAAAGAAAGGAAAAAAAAACAAAGAATAATAAAGAGGAAAATGCTCCCCCATAACAAACTCTTAGTTGATGTAGGGGCACTCCTTTGCGGCAGCAGGCTATTTCCGTTTAAACACACATTTAAAGTTTTAATTAAGCAGTGTCTGCTAATTTTTAAAGAATTAAAATTACTGGACACTGCTTTTTCATAGATTAAATTGTATTTATTTCACCATTCTCAAAAGGTTGTTGTTTCCTGTGTCTATGGATTATCTTTTTCCGGTAATTTCAAGGATTCTGGATATTTTTTTAAACTTTAAGTCTTTCCAGATATCCAAATTTTTCCATACATACAAATTTAGTTGTATATTTTTGAAATATATATATATATATATATATATATATATATATATATATATATATATATATATAAAAGCTTTTTAACTTATCACTCATACAAAAGTTAAAATAGTTTGGAAAAAAAATTAAAAACAACCTAAGTAAAAGAAAAATAAGTGAAAATATATTCCACATTTTTTCCAGAAATATTTTACCCAAACAATTTTCCAGATTTTCAAAATATGACCTAGATGATCTATGTGTATCTCTCTAGATGTATATACTTCAGTAAATTAGGTGTCCACTAGTTACACATAGGTTATGTTAAAAACTTTAGTACACTGTTGTGTACTTATCCCAACAAATAATCCCAAACCTTCAATGTATGTACTGAAGCCCCTGCAGGTGGCTATTTTAGTATAATGTCATCAATGCTGCTTCATAAAATTTCTTAAAAATGAAAATTCTTAAAATCTGTTTTTTGTGTGTTCCCAATCAGAAATTTAAAAGTTAAAGAAAGCATAATATGTTAGTACAATGCTAACATAAACCCATAGTTTTGTGCATGTTACACTCTATGATATATATTTACACACATATATACAACCCTTGGAATCAGGGTCAGCATTCGGCAATGCTGACCTAAAAGTGTTTGCGGTCGGCAAAAAATTGCTTACCTCCTTTCGATGTTTTTTTCAATGTTGGTAAGACCTTTGTATCAAATTTTTTCGCCGACCTCTAAAAGATTTAGGTTGGCAAATTATTGCTGACCTCAATTTTCCTAATTCTGAGGATTGTATATATATATATATATATATATATATATATATATATATATATATATATATATATATATATATATATATATATATATATATATTTGTGTGTGTTTTAAATGATTTTAATTTATTAGGGTGAAACTCTAACTGAAGAACAAATTGCTGAGTTCAAGGAGGCTTTCTCTCTCTTTGATAAAGATGGTGATGGCACAATCACAACCAAAGAATTAGGAACAGTTATGAGAAGTTTAGGACAAAACCCTACTGAAGCTGAATTACAAGATATGATCAATGAAGTAGATGCAGACGGAAACGGTACAATTGATTTTCCTGAGTTTTTAACTATGATGGCTCGTAAGATGAAAGACACTGACTCAGAAGAAGAAATTAAGGAAGCTTTTAGGGTTTTTGATAAAGATGGTAATGGGTTTATTAGTGCTGCTGAACTAAGACATGTTATGACAAATCTTGGCGAAAAATTAACAGATGAAGAAGTTGATGAAATGATCAGAGAAGCTGATGTTGATGGGGATGGTCAAGTAAATTATGATGGTAAGATTTTTTTCTTGTAAAAATACAATTTTAATTATTAGTTTTAAAGTATTTTTTTTTATCATATTGTAGATTTTTTATAAATAATTTTTTCAATAAAGAAATATATAACCAATAATAGCTTGATTTTATATAGTAAATGTAATTGATATTTTACATGAAGAAAAACAAAATTACATGTAAGGAAAAAAGTTTTTACACTGATAAAAAATTTACTTATGCTCTGTCAGCCTAATAATGTAACATTAACTAAGTTTAATAACTTAAAATTAAACATTAAATATCTTTTATATACTTTCCATTAAGCTTATTATTATTATTTTTTGTTGTTGTTTTTTTGTTTTCTTAAAATAAAATATTTATTTATATTTTCTCTTAATGCGTATTAATAAAAATTTGTCAGCTGTTGGCTATGACTATGTTAAACTTTATAAAAAATGTGATGAAGATCCGTTTCTATATATGCATTAAAGTCATCATGTATAGACCATATGAATAATAAGGGCAATGTACATTTAAATGTCTGTCTAAATGTTGAATCAAGTTGAAAGTTTAAAAATTTATTTTTAGTATTGTTAGACTTATTTATTATTAGCATATATTACAAGTCAGCCAAATTAAAAGTGTATTATTTCGATAATTCTTTTTTGTTTAGAATTTGTTAAGATGATGATGTCAAAGTAATGTAAAAGCTTTGGTGCGAGGTTATGTCGCGGTTAATTTAATACCGCAGACTATGTAAAACGTTGCAGAAATTAAGATGATTTATTTTTTATATGTATGGTGAAGCTTAATCATGGCTATAGTGAAAAAATGAGCGACACTTTATCAATGACAGTACATAGTTCTTGTTTGTTTTTTTGTTTTTTTAAAAAAGTCGTTATTCTTAACTTGTTTATGTTCAAATTAAATTTTGGTTAAAACTTAAGTCTTAACCTATTTGTAAAAGTTAATATCTTTTAAAGCTTTTACCTGAATTGCTATGAGAAATTAAATTTAAAAAGTATCCTGAAATTAGCTCTGCATTTGAGTTTCGCGCCTTAAAAATGTCAAGGTCTCTTTTTATTTTAATGGCGTTGTTTTCAAACATCGTTTGTACTTAAAAGTTATTAAAAATAGAAATACATATAAATATACTTATTTATTAGTTTTTTAATTAAGAATTTTAATGGCTGAATGGTGCGATTCGTCTCCTTTTCCCCTATCTCTCTTAAATCTTCTTCCCTTATATATATTGAAAGTCCTCAAAAATAAAAATATTATTGCTATATAGCTTCTTCATTTACAAAGGTCCTGTTCGAAATTATGAACACGTCTAACTCTCTAATTTAATGCCATTAAACTGTTTTTAGGGGTGATTACGTGAGTAAAAGTCAGCCCGGGTTAAAATTACATCCCGGTGACTCGAAATAAAGTAACTCCGCGAAAAGTTAACTTCCCGCTTAAAACATTTTAACTCCCCGGTTAATCTATTTCGAAATAAATTAATCGGGGCTTAAATATTTCTAACCTCCATCGTAATAAATTAACCCCTTTTAATACGCGATTTAAATAATTTAGCTTAAAGTAATTCGACAAAATTGAGGAAGTAGTTAATTTTATTATATTTTTTTAATATATATCTTCAGTTGGCGTTGAAAAAAATTATTTTGTAACTGTTCATTTTTTCATTGTACAGGTTTGCGAAAATAAAAAGGAGATCAAAAAATAATAAAATTAAACAAACTTCAGAGAACCTTTTTCTTTGCTAATAATAATGTTTGAGATAAATTAGTTAGCTATCTACACTACATATATATATATTCGCGGAGATTTTGCGGAAACAAGACGTGTTTTTTATTAGCGACAAAGTTTACATAAAAATGGATATTACAATGAAAAGCATCGAAAAAATTATCACAAAACAACTCGAGGAACACAAAAAAAGTATTCTTAAAGAAACTGAACGACTACTTAAAGAGCAAGAAAAATCATTTACTTTAATAATGAGTGCAAACCTCAAAATTATAACTGATAGACTAGACACAATAGAGAAAGACAACAACAACAACAAGTCGAAAATAAAGAATATCGAAAAAGACCTGAACGAAATAAAGGACAGCCTCAGTTTTCAAGAGAATAAAACTTTAGAAAACATTTCACACTTAAAAAAATATTATGACAATCAAATAATTACATTATATAAAAAGTCAATAGAGTTGGAAAATCGTTCCAGAAGAAATAATCTAAGAATAGATGGACTAAAAGAATCTCCAGGAGAAAGCTGGGATGATTGTGAAAAAGAGGTAAAAAAATTCTTTAATAATCAATTAAAAATATCAAAGGAAGTCGTTATAGAAAAAGAACATCGCATCGGTCAAAAAAAAGATAAATAAACCAAGAACAATAGTTTTAAAACTCCTGAACTTTCACGACAAAAACAAAATACTCAACTCATTAACTCATCTTAAAGGAACTGGCATTTACATAAACGAAGATTTTGCCCAAGAAACTATCGAACATCGAAGGAAGCTTTGGGAAGAAGTGAAAAAATTACGCAGCGAAGGTAAATACGCTATTTTAAAGTATGATAAAATTTTTAGTCGAGATTTTAAAAATACGCGCTTTCAAAAATAACTTTACTCAAATCGAATTCTATTAAAAAAAAAAAAAAAAAAAAAAATTGATTTAATTCTTTTTTCGTCATGGCTAATGATTTTATAACAGAAGATTTTGATAAGTTGCGTTTTGACTTTTTTAAAACTCAAAATAATATCTTTGCGAATAATTTATACGACGACGATTTATTTATTTTTAATGGACCTGACTCTCCATACTTTGATACTAAAACTTTTAAAGCTGAACTTCATAACAATATAGACGAGTTTACGGTAATACACATAAACATTAGGAGCTTAAATACAAATATCGATAAGTTAAAAATTTTCCTTTTCGAATGCAAATATTCCTTTAGCATGATTTGTCTTACAGAAACTTGGTGTTCTGACGAAAATTCTTATACAAATTCAAACCTCCTAATCCCTAACTATAATCTTATTTCTTATGAAAGAAAAGCTAACAAAAGAGGAGGTGGAATAATAACCTACATCCATAATGAGTTAAACACAAAAATTAGAAATGATCTTTCTATTTCTGATTCAAATAGTGAGGTCTTTACAGTTGAAGTCATTAATGATACTACAAAAAATCTCTTAATATCCTCTTGTTATAGACCGCCCGATGGAGATATTATAATGTTTTCAAGTTTTATGAAACAAATATATACAACAAGCAATGTTGAACATAAAAAGCTATTCTGTATTGGTGACATGAGCATAAATTACCTAAGCTATCATGAACACGCTAATACCAAAATTTTTTTCGATGATATGATACAACATTACATTTTCCCAATTATAAACAAACCCACCCGGGTAACTCCCAACTCAATTACAGCTATTGACAATATATTGACAAATTCAATTCAAGATCCATCCTTAAAAGTAGGAATAATTAAAACGGATATATCTGACCACTTCCCAATTTACTTCTCACTATCACAACAAGCAACACGTGTCAATAACTTGAGAATAAAAATCATCAAAAGAAGCATAAATAAATTCTCGACCCAAAAACTAAAAGACTCACTAGCGGTAGTAAATTGGTCAAAAATATATCATGAATGTAACCTCGGACACACAAATTCCGCTTACAATAATTTTATAAATATTTTCCTAAACCTCTACAATAAACATTTTCCAAAGGTCGAAAAAGAAATTAAAGCAAAATACCTAACCACTCCATGGATTACCCAAGGAATAAGAAAATCGTCAAAACAAAAACAAAAACTCTACATAAAATATCTAAAAAATAGAAACCATTTTAATTTGTCTAAGTATAAACAATATAAAAATCTATTTGAAAAAATAAAATTAAAATCCAAAAAACTATATTTTTCAAAGCAAATACAAAAATTTAAAGGAGATAATAAAAAAATCTGGGATATTATAAAAGAAATAATTGGTAAAGATAAAAAAAACTCGAACCAACTACCTCCAAAAGTTCTCATAAGTGAAAAAGAGTTTAATAATAAAAAATTATCTCTGAAAAATTTAACAAATACTTTGCAAGTATAGGTTCCAAACTCGCCTCTAAAATTCAACCTACAAATAATTCATTTGAGAATTACATCGAGGACTCTCGTTACTCCCTAGTTTTTAAAGAACTTGAATACGAAGAACTTGAAACAGCAATTAAAACATTAAAAATTAACAAAGGTCCAGGTATCGACAATATCCCAGCCAATATTATTTTGAATGTCTTCCCAGAAATAAGTAAACCCATTTTTCAAATATTTAACTCTTCAATAATTACAGGAATTGTACCCGACTATTTAAAAATAGCTAAAATTATTCCTATCTATAAATCCGGAGATACATCTTTCTTAAATAATTACAGACCAATATCAATCCTTCCCGTATTTTCAAAACTGCTCGAACGAATAATCTACAATCGTTTATATAAATACCTAACCTCAAACAAAATCCTGAATGAAAACCAATATGGTTTTCAAACTCAGCACTCGACAGAGCATGCTATCGTAGACCTCGTCAATAGAATTAGTGAATCAATCTATGAAAAGAAGTTCGTATTAGGAGTCTTTGTAGACTTGTCAAAAGCGTTCGACACAATAAATCATGAAATCCTACTAAAAAAGTTGGAAAAATACGGATTAAAAAACCATACACTGCAGTGGTTTAAAAGTTACCTGTATAACAGACAACAGTGTGTTATTACAGATGATAATTACCACAGTAAATTATTAAAATTAACTTGTGGTGTTCCTCAAGGTTCGATTCTTGCTCCTCTTTTGTTCCTAATCTATATAAACGACCTTCCAAAAGTTTCTAGCAAACTTGAATTTATAATGTTTGCAGACAATACAAACTTATTTTACTCTTCGACAAACATCAAGGATCTGTATGATAATGTAAGCATAGAACTCCAAAAATTAAATATATGGTTTAAAACAAATAAGTTATCGCTAAACATAGAAAAAATAAAATACACTTTATTTCATTCAAACCAACAAAGAAACACACTACCAAATATTCTACCCTCTCTAAAAATAGAAAATATAGTAATTGAGAGAACTCACGAAACTAAATTTTTAGGAGTTATAATTGATGAAAATTTATCTTGGAAAAGTCACATAAATGCTTTAAACACTAAAATATCAAAAAACATAGGTCTACTTTATAAAGCAAAACCTATTCTGTCGCAAAGTAATTTAAAACTTATATATTTCTCTTTTATACACAGCTACCTCATATATGCGAATATAGCTTGGGCGAGTACGCATATAACCAAATTGAAAACTTTATATCGACGTCAGAAACATGCTGTTAGACTTATCTACCATAAAGACAAATTTACACACACTGAACACACACTAATTAAAAATATTAACCCTTTATATTATGACCCAAATTCTAAAAAAATTGCTAATGGAATGGAGGATAACTATTTTTCAATGCTTCATATTAATATTAGAAGTATTCAAAAAAATTTTGAGTCATTAAAACAACTTTTATATAAAATTGGCATTAAATTTCAAATAATTTGTCTAAGTGAGACATGGTGTAAAGATAAAAACATTGAAAACAATTCTAATTTTTAATTACCTAATTATAAAGTAATTCATCAAGTTAGAGCATCTAATAAGGAAGGTGGGGGTTTGTGTATATACATAAAAAACTCAATATTATTCAAAGTTAAACCAAATTTAAGTTCAACTACTAACGATTATGAATCGTTATGTATTGAAATTATTAACAAAACCTCAAAAAATATCGTCATTCATGGTTTATACAGACCGCCTTCAGGAAGCATTAAGGTATTTGAAAACCACATTAAAAAAATAATTAAAAATAAATCGTCTATGAATAAAGCTGTATATTTTATTGGTGATATCAATCTCAATATATTAGATTATGAAAAAAATATATATATTAAAAACTTTTTTAACACCATTTTTCAAAATAGCTATATTCCACTAATCAATAAACCAACGCGAATAACTAAGGAAAGTTCAACATCCCTAGATCAAATTATAACAAGTGAATTTATAAATAAAAATATAAGAACAGGAATATTTAAAA